GCTGACTGGCGGACCGGACGGGGGAGGGGCGGGTACAGCTGGCTCTGCCTCTAGATAGGCAGAGCCAGCTGTCACTCACGCAGCTGGGCGGATCCTGTCATTACGTCGGGATCCGCTCGGGATTTTTTGCACATTTAGGGTTAGTCCACACCATAGGCAGTGCGTTCCGGTCCGATTCTGGAGCGCATTGCGGCTGGCTCACTATTTCGTGGGGCTGGAGGGGGAGTGGCGGGCCATTGAAGTGAATGGCACCGTAGCCACACCCTCCGGCCGCCATGCGATCGCCCGCACGGGATAGCAAGGCACATCGTGCCTGCAGTCCGGACCGGTCCGGTCAAAATGCCGCAAGCACTATTTTGACCTGACCGCAGGCACAATGTGCCTTGCGATCCCGTGCCGGCGATCGCATTGCGGCCCCTCCAGGCCGGCAAAAAGGTGAGCCGGCCGCGATGCAGTGTATTCCAGAATCGGACCGGAACGCACTGCCTATGGTGTGAACTAACCCTTAAAGGAGAACCTATGAGGCGAGTGATTTTCAATGAGACTGTCACACGTCGGCTCAGTAGATCGGGAGGTGAGCGAACACATACCGGCGTTCGCTCACTTCTCGATCATGTCCCTGCAGAGAGCCGTGGCTGTCACTCACGGCTCCCTGCAGGGATTCCCCCCCTCCCCTGTCTGATCCTCCAGCGGCGAGTGGAGGAACGGAGGGGGCGGGGACAGCTGGCTCTGCCTCTAGATAGGCAGAGCCAGCTGTCACTCACGCAGCTGGGCGGATCTCGACATTGATCTGCTCCGGCTGCGGCGTCTCAGTATACCGTGAGCTGTAGCTCTCTATATACTGAGCTTAGGGTCACTGGAGGACGCTAGTTTGTGTCCTCCCGTGACCCTGAGGAGAACTATGGGGAAAAGCACTGACCCCATAGTTCTCCTTTAAGGCTGAAGATCGGCCATATTGGGAAGGTTTTTGGGGATTCGGCAGTTCCATTTGTAAACGTCTCCACTTCCTGTTGCAGATGACGACGCAGGAGTACAACATGCTGAACGACGAGGAGGACGAGGAGTTCCTCCAGCAGTACCGGAAGCAGCGGATCGAGGAGATGAAGAAGCAGCTCTGCCCGGCCCAGCTCTTCAAGGTGGTCTTCGACATCGGCAGCGGGGAGGAATTCCTCGACGTCATCGACCAGGAACAGAAACACGTGCAGGTGATCGTCCTGATCTACGAGGAGCGCGTCCCCGGGGCGGAGGCCGCCAACGGCAGCATGATCTGCCTGGCGGCCGAGTACCCCGGGGTCAAGTTCTGCCGGGTGAAAAGCTCCCTGCTGGCCACGAGCGCCAGATTCACCGCGAACGCCCTGCCGGCCCTGCTGGTGTACAAAGCCGGGGAGCTGATCGGGAACTTCGTGCGCATCACCGACCAGCTCGGGGACGACTTCTTCGCCGTCGACCTGCAGGCGTTTCTGCAGGAGTACAGCTTTTTGCCCGACAAGGACAAGGTGCGCGCGGCGATCCAAAACCCCGCCGTGCAGGGCTACGACAGCGACGACAGCGACTTGGAGATAGACTGACGGCCCGCCGGGGCCCCCCCCCTCCCCCGTTAGGAGGGATTGGACATAGGTGCGATCTTGTACACGTTATTTAATTTGTAAAAGTCGATTTGGTAAAATAAACGGTTTTAGCGTAAATGTCTGTTTTTCATTTTTGAAAAGCTAATCTCCAGGCCCCGCCCCCTTCTCTGACCAAGAAAACCCCCGAAAAGCCCCTTTTAGCCCAATTCCACGGTCACGTTCGAGTCTGCACTCTTCTATGCACAGGAGGCGGGGTCCTCTTTTAGGTGTCCGCATGACTGCCTGCGTGATGTGCACACTCCCTATTGGCTGCCCAGCACCGAGGTTCTTCTAAGGATCCCAATGGGAGTCTGTAGGTCAACTCCGGCCCTCCGGCTGTGGTGTAACTACAAATCCCATGATGCATTGCAAGGCTGACAGTTACAGGCGTGACTCCCAGAGGCATGGCGGGATTTGTAGTTACAGCACAGCTGGAGTTGACCTACAGCAGGGGTAGCAAACCTCCGGCCCTCCAGCTGTGGGTGAAACTACAAATCCCATGATGCATCTCTCTTCGGGAGTCGTGACTGAGAATCTTGCAATGCCTCATGGGATTCCACCCCAGCTGGAGGGCCGGAGGTTTGCTACCCCTGCTGTAGGTCAACTCCGGCTCTCCCGCTGTGCTGTAACTACAAATCCCAACATGCATCTGGGAGTCACGCCTGTAACTGTCAGCCTTGCAATGCCTCATGGGACTTGTAGTTGAACAACAACTGGAGGGCCGGAGTTGCCTACCCCCACTGTAGGTGATGAGGTCCGCATAAAGGGGTGACTGGGTGGCGTGGGCATATCTGCACCGGGAATGGGCAAGGGATTTGGTGAGTATTAAACCCCCCCCCCTACAAGGTACCCCTGCAGAATGGGTTGAAGGGGGGCAGGAGTGTGGTGGGGGATGGGGGTTAATGGGCTTTAACATGTATGTAAACCCAATCACTAAAATATTATATAAGTTGGACTATGTTAACCAGTTGTGGTCATTAGGCCCAAAAAAAGGCAATCGAAGTACACACGGCATATGTAGCGCACCTCGTCCCTCACCCCCATTGCGGCCCCCCGAGACTTATCTGCCGATGCATGGGTTGTGAACAAGGCCAAAGCCAGGCTCCTGCGGTGGAGGGGGTGTGGACAGAGTTGGAGAGAGCACAGGTTATGTATGAGGCCAAGAGCTTGTTCCTGCGGTGCAGGGGGTGCAGAGTGAGAGAGAGCGCGGGTTATGCATGAGGACTAAGCTTGTTCCTGCGGTGCAGGGGGTGCAGAGGGAGCACGGGCTATGCATGAGGCAAAGAGCTTGTTCCTGCTGTGCAGGGGGTGCGGAGAGAGCATTGGCTATGAATGAGGCCTAAGCTTGTTCCTGCGGTGCAGGGGGAGCACGGGCTATGCATGAGGCCTAAGCTTGTTCCTGCGGTGCAGGGGGTGCGGAGAGAGAGCATTGGCTATGAATGAGGCCTAAGCTTGTTCCTGCGGTGCAGGGGGTGCGGAGAGAGCATTGGCTATGAATGAGGCCTAAGCTTGTTCCTGCGGTGCAGGGGGAGCACGGGCTATGCATGAGGCCTAAGCTTGTTCCTGCGGTGCAGGGGGTGCGGAGAGAGAGCATTGGCTATGAATGAGGCCTAAGCGTGTTCCTGCGGTGCGGGGGGTGGAGAGAGCATTGGCTATGAATGAGGCCTAAGCTTGTTCCTGCGGTGCAGGGGGTGCGGAGAGAGCATTGGCTATGAATGAGGCCTAAGCTTGTTCCTGCGGTGCAGGGGGAGCACGGGCTATGCATGAGGCCTAAGCTTGTTCCTGCGGTGCAGGGGGTGCGGAGAGAGAGCATTGGCTATGAATGAGGCCTAAGCTTGTTCCTGCGGTGCAGGGGGTGCGGAGAGAGCATTGGCTATGAATGAGGCCTAAGCTTGTTCCTGCGGTGCAGGGGGTGCGGAGAGAGCATTGGCTATGAATGAGGCCTAAGCTTGTTCCTGCGGTGCAGGGGGAGCACGGGCTATGCATGAGGCCTAAGCTTGTTCCTGCGGTGCAGGGGGAGCACGGGCTATGCATGAGGCCAAGAGCTTGTTCCTGCGGTGCAGGGGGTGCGGAGAGAGAGAGCGCGGGTTGTGAACAAGACCAATGCCATGTTCCTGCGGTGCAGGGAGTGTGGACAGAGAGAGAGAGCAGGGGTTATGAATGAGGCAGAGGGCTTGTTCCTGCGGTGCAGGGAGTGTGGACAGAGTGAGGGAGCAGGGGTTATGCATGAGGCAGAGGGCTTGTTCCTGCGTCAGGTGCAGGGAGTGTGGACAGAGTGAGGGAGCAGGGGTTATGCATGAGGCAGAGGGCTTGTTCCTGCGGTGCAGGGGGTGCGCACCCGATGGCCACCCTCTCCTGCCATCCAGGCATGACCAGGAAGGTCCCTCAGACTAGGAGCTTTTCAGAGGGGCCGCTCCTAGTCGCCATCTTCTCCCAGAGCTCATGTACTGCGGGCGTTGGACTTCAGGGGCCATTTTGCCGGAAAGGTGGAGGAACCCTTTAACTCCTCTCAGGGGGAGGGATTGCGTGGTCTGCACCATGAAGTGTCCCCATCAACTCGTGGCACGACGGCGGGATGACTGTAAGTAGACCTCGTGTAGCGCGGAGAGGCGCCGTCATCATCACCGCGCTTTGTACTATTCCTTCTATTGTTCGCCCAAAGGCCCCCATGTGATGCTCTGGTGGCTCCTCCCACATGGAATAAAAGCCTTCGAGGATGTTGTGGACCAGAACCAAAAACCAAAATGTAATACGGTGCAGATTACCCGTCCTTGGATGTGGCGGCTGCATTAGTCTTCTTCAGGCTTCGTCTCACCCGGTGACACTTCCTGTCACACACTTCCTGTCCTACGGTGACAACGCTCACCCACCGCGCTGCATCTACGGAGGAGGAGCAGCGTCACCTGACCTGATCCGGTGGGCAAACACCTCCCCCTTCTCATCTCTACACTCTAGGGCAGGGGTAGCAAAACTCCGGCCCTCCAGCTGTGGGTGAAACTACAAATCCCACGATGCATCTGTCTCTGAGAGTCGTGTCTGTGGCTGTGAGAATGCTGCAATGCCACGTGGGATTTGTAGTTCCACCACAGCTGGAGGGCCGCTGGCTGGCTACCCCTGTCCTAGAGTGTAGAGATGAGACGGGGGAGGGTGTTTGTCGACCGAATCAACCCTACATCCAACCGACCACCAGCACCGCAGGGCCCATGATGCTCCTAATCTGGCCCCGGGTTGAGGGCCCCGCCCCCCATGCAACCCTAGAATACAATAACACGGCAATGTCCAAAATAACACGGCATCAAATTTATTAGCAAAAAGATCACAAATATGTTCATCCGTCGAACGATCCGCCCCCTCCCCTCCCCCCGGGGCCCCCTAAAGCTCGTCGCCGCTCTTCTTTTCCCGGGAAGGGTGGCGGCCTCCCGGCTCCGGGTCCAGCACGTGGAAGGCGACCTCCGGGCACCTCTTGACGTTCCGGCACACCAGCTTCTCTATGGAGGCGGTCTTTACCATGTTGAAGCCCGTCTCCCCCCCGAAGGTGCTCGGCTTCCAGTACTCCGGGGAGCAGATGGGGTTCCCCATGAGTCCTTTGAGGGAGAAGGGGGCTCCCATCTCGATCATGCTCTCCCCGAAGATGGAGTTGGGGTGGGTTTTCTCCAGCAGGAGGCCCGGGTAGAACTCCAGGGCGTCGATGTCGCCGTACAGCTCCTCCAGCCGGGCCGAGACCTCGTCTTCCCCTGGGGACCAGAAAACAAATTCAACATTTTAAAATCAAATAATATACGTTGAGGGGAATTGATCAACACCGGAGCAGTTGCCCGCGGCAACCAATCGGCTTCTCTCTTTCATGTTCAAATCTTAAAGGAGAACTACGAGGTTAGTGATTTTCCCTCATCATAGTTCGAGCCGACGTGTGACAATGAGACTGACACTCACGGCTCCCTGCAGGGATTCCCCCCCCTCCCCTGTCCGATCCTCCAGCGCTGACTGGCGGAACGGACGGGGGAGGGGGCGGGTACAGCTGGCTCTGCCTCAAGATAGGCAGAGCCAGCTGTCACTCGCGCAGGTGGGCGTATCCAGACAGTATTGTCGGGATCCTTCCCGGCTGCGGCGTCTCAGTATACCGCGAGCTGTAGCTCCCTATATACTGAGCTTTGGGTGATGGGAGGACGCTAGTTTGTGTCCTCCCGTGACCCTGAGGAGAACGATGGGGGAAAAGCCCTGACCTCAGAGTTCTCCTTTAACAGAACAAACCAGAGAGAGAAGCCGGCTGGTTGCCGTGGGCAACTGCTCCAGGTTTTGTCTTCTCCGGTTTTGATTTCTTTACATTTTTTCGTCGTGTTTCTGCACAGCTCCAACTCTCTCTGCTCTGCTTCCCTGAACTTCCTGTCCGAGATCACAAGGGGCTGCATTGTCCCCATCAGCTGTCCATCTACTAGCTTGGAGGAGGGAGATGTAGGGAGCAGGGGAATGGCTCTCTACGTCTCCCATCAGCTGTCCATCTACTAGCTGGAAGGAGGGAGGAAGATGTAGAGAGCAGGGGAATGACTCCCTACACTTCCATCAGCTGCCAATCTGCCAGCTTAGAGGAGTGAGACACACAGAGCGGGGGAATGGTTTCCTACATCTCCATCATCTGTCCATCTACTAGCTTGGAGGAAGGATTTGCTCCAGGTTTTGTCTTCTCCGGTTTTGATTTCTTTACATTTTTTCGTCGTGTTTCTGCACAGCTCCAACTCTCTCTGCTCTGCTTCCCTGAACTTCCTGTCCGAGATCACAAGGGGCTGCATTGTCCCCATCAGCTGTCCATCTACTAGCTTGGAGGAGGGAGATGTAGGGAGCAGGGGAATGGCTCTCTACGTCTCCCATCATCTGTCCATCTACTAGCTTGGAGAAAGGAGAGACACAGAGTGGGGAATAGCTCCCTACATCTGCTTCAGCTAGTCCCTATCGGCTGTCTGCCTACTAGCTTAGAGGAGGGAGGAAGGAGAAGCATGGAGTGGCGGAATGGCTCCCTACGTCTCCACCAGCTAGTCCCCATCAGCTGTCCATCTACTAGCTTAGTGAAGGGAGACATAGGGAGCAGGGGAATGGCTCCCTACACTTCCATCAGCTAGAGCCCCCATTAAGGATGGGCTCGGGCGTGTTCGCAGCTTCACGTGCCGAGCCCGCCAGGAACCTGACAGCGCCAATCACTGCCACTGAGACATTTCCTGATCTCTGACGCTGCGGACGCCCGAGCCCATCACTAGTCCCCATCAGCTGCTAATCTTCTAGCTTGGAGGAGGGAGAAAGGAGATGTAGGGAGCAGGGGAGAGCGGCTTGTGTTGGTGGAGATACGCACAGCTCACTAGCACACACAAGGGTGGCTCTATAGGACCCTGCAAGGGAAAGGAGCCCCCCTAAAACAGGAAGTCAGGACCGGTGCTCAGGGGATCAGCTGATTCTGCAGGAAACTAAAACTTCTCACATCGGGGAGCGGAATCCATTGTAAGGGATTTCATCTCCATTTTAAACA